TATGACTACAAAATATTTGGATCTGATTTCGAATCCGAACATTCAATTTTTGTTTTTGTTAGTGGACATAATCCTGTGCAACGACTCAAAATACGTACCATGATAATGGCTTCAGACTTGCTCATTTTGAGGACACTTAGGATGAACCTAAGGAGAGCAGGACGAGGTTCTATTTCAAGAGGCGTTGGGTGCTAAAGTTTCCGTTAAAGCTTTCTTTCAATCCAATACGGTCTTATATTTAACCTTATCACCTGATATCTCCCTTATTGCCTTCTGTCGGTAAATATGTTAACCCCTACTGTCGCCATATTTATAACTACTATTGTAATTAGGTAGTCGGTAGTGTATATTTTTGTTTCAGGGTCTTCATACAAATGTCGATCCTTTGATCAAAATTTTCAAATACATTCTGGAAATTATCGAGTTTATTATGTTAATTACGTCATGGGTTTTGAGTTTTCAATCGATGCTATTGGATCTGCACGGAATCTGTAATATATGTATCTCCATTTAGATATAGAAGCATGTCATAAATATGTTGATTATACCGAAATCTTGATAACATTTTCCACAGGTCTGTTTTATGTATCTAGAAATAGTCCTTAGTACGGACCACATTTGACCTGACGTCCACATAAGGTTCTACTCAGAAAATTACTTTAAAGTACATGGGGTTCATAAAAAATGACACTATCCAATCAACCTAATATAATTCCTCTTACAGAAAATCAAGCGGAATTATTTCGTATACTGATGGTCGTATAAATATCGAGGTTTTATAATAAATTTGGTTAAATAACGAAAGGATTGATGCATATATAGTCCACCTTTCGGTATAACCGAACTTGTTTATACATTTAGGGAATCGGTCGATTCGGTTCAGACTTATATTTATATAGTGTTTTATAGCTCCGGGTTAAACTTTCATGATTAAAAAGAAGCTGCTATCACCCGATTTCTAAAAATTTATAGCACATATTTATATATTGAGATTTTATTACTATCTTAGTTTCCAATATTTTTTTAACTTTTATGTTAATTTTTTGTATTAATTTATCGAAAAAATCTAGCGTCGATTGGAGTCCACGCATAAACCCAATGAACGTAATCTAAAGAATCATTAAAAGATACCCAATCAAGCAAAATTTATAACCAAACTTTAATCAGAATCAAGAAACCAGAATTTTTTTCATTCGATAAATTCAATTCCCATCTGTTCAGTTCAGTTCAAAATACATATTTTTCTTCATATATCGTTTTCCACATTAAATAATTTATGAAATTTGTTAAATAAATTTTTTGTTTTATGTCCTTGTTTTTTTAGTTATAGAAATTTTCTTTTCATTTCCTCTCACATCCCATATTTTTTGTTTTAATTTTTCATATTATTTTATGTAATATTATTATTACTATTTTTTATTATTATAATATTATAAAATTAAGTTTGTTTTTATTACTGTTTAATTGTCAATTATTAGTACGCGTTTTAACCACGTCTCCCTTTTAATATAATTTTTTTTTGTTAATATTCTTCGTACAAAAATTATTTTTCCAATTTCCAAAAACCTTAAAAAAAATTAAATTTTTTTTTTTGTTATTTTAAGTTTGTTTTTTTAAATTAATTTTTAAATCATTTTTGTTTACAAAATTTTGTATAAAAGAAATTTCAAGAAAATAAAATTGAGTCTTGTGTGAAAAAGTTCATTTATTTTAATTTTTATTAAAGTTTTTCTATAACGAAATTTTTAAGTTTTTTAAATTTTTTTGTAAAAGTTTTATTTTTATCAAAGTTTTTTTTAAAGGGATTTAAAGGTATAGTGCGGCTTTTTAATGTTAATTTGTTGCATCATGTTTTTAAATAAAATTATTCAAAAAATTTATTAAAAGCCTTTATTATTTCAACAATTGGTAAGTAATAATTGTTGTTTTTGTATAAAATATTTAAAAATGTGTAAAATTATTTCGAATTTAAGTTTATAACATATATTGGCTAGAAGCTTTTAAGAATGTTAAATAATAGGTTTTGAAATGAACGATTCTTTTAGTAGTCCTATTAGGGCAATTGTTTAACTAATATTCAATAGAATTTTGAATATAGAAAAGCTCAGCTCTTTCCATATTTGAAATGACCCCAAAATATTTCATATGATTATACTCCTAGATTGTAAGAGCTTGCGGTAAAACTTGTGATAATTTTGTAATGATATCATGCTTTAAAGTTAAGCATGATATACTACCTTCAAGTCTCCTGATTTTCTGGAAACACTTTCTGAGTTGGTTAAATTATGTCCGTCTATCCGTCCATTCATCTGCTTTAAGATAATATGATGAATTTTGGCATATATACGGTTCTCTTGACACAAAGACGAAACCTATTGAAAATGGTTGAAACCGGTATATTATTTCACCTAATTCCCATATAACCTACCTCCCTTTGAAGTTCATAATTATGTTAAAAATGTAGAGATACTATCACAAAAATCAGTACAACTTGATTGGTTAACGTGATAGTTCACTGTACGCGAACGGTCCAGTAAAGTCAAAGAGACTCCGTTTTGACATCAGTATAACTTAGTTTTATAAATGTCTAAATAATACTGCCGCTTTTTAGGGGCTTCATTTGACCTTAGGGCCCATATGAAGACTACTGGTGTAGGGTATAAAATGGTCATAGACTAGTCAAAAGACAAGTCAATATACAGTCAATAGACTAGTAAATAAACCAGTCAATAAACTAATTCACAGACTAGTCCAAAGTCTAGTACATTTACTAGTCCATTGACTAGTCAATATACTTTTCTACTCAGCATACTAGTCCCTAGACTAGTCTATTGACTAATACTTAGTCTGATCGTCGTTGCTCTACATCTAGAAACACTTTTCAAAGCTACTGATAAACAGATATGCCATCTGATCGTGCTTCAGATGATCGACACAGAAGAAATCTCAGTGTAAAATTAAAAATTTTGAAACCCCTGTAAAAAGCTCGTGGATTATTTCATTGTCTAGTTCTTAAACTAGTTCATAAATTAGTTCTGAGATCGATGGATGTCATGTTTGATCGTCATTGCTTTACATCTAGAAATATAGCCAATGATTAGATGTGCCATTTCAACGTGTTTTCGTTGATCAACACAGAGAAGACCCCAATTATCTAAGATCAGATTATCATTGTAATTCTTTGATCATTTAAGACTTGTCCCATTTCGTTTGTAATTTCTGATTTTCCGACACTATAAAGCTAGAGAAGTCGACGTAGCGATTTCTGTCTGTATGTTTGTTCAAAAACATGTCTGATCGTCATTGAAATTGACAAATGATGATCAGATATGCTATCTCAACGTGTTTCAATTGATCAACTCGGAGAAAAGTTAAGTTTTCATGAGAAGAGTATTTATCAGTTTGTAATTCCGTTTGTAATTTTTACAACAAAATTTTCTGAACCTATAAAGCAGTCTAGTCTATAATCTAGTGTATATTCTAGTCTATAGACTAGTCTAGTCTATAGGCTAGTCTATAGTCTACTGTATATTCTAGTCTATAGGCTAGTCTATAGTCTACTGTATATTCTAGTCTATAGACTAGTCTAGTCTATAGGCTAGTCTAGTCTATAGTCTAGTTTACAGTCTAGTCTATAGTCTACACTATAGTCTAGTCTATAGTCTAGTATACAGTCTAGTATATAGTCTAGTATATAGTCTAGTCTATAGTCTAGTATATAGTCTAGTCTAGTATATAGTCTAGTATATAGTCTAGTATATAGTCTAGTATATAGTCTAGTCTATAGTCTAGCATATAGTCTAGTCTATAGTCTAGTCTATAGTCTAGTCTATAGCCTAGTCTATAGTCTAGTCTATAGTCTAGTCTATAGCCTAGTCTATAGTCTAGTCTATAGTCTAGTCTATAGTCTAGTCTATAGTCTAGTCTATAGTCTAGTCTATAGTCTAGTCTATAGTCTAGTCTATAGTCTAGTCTATAGTCTAGTCTATAGTCTAGTCTATAGTCTAGTCTATAGTCTAGTCTATAGTCTAGTCTATAGTCTAGTCTATAGTCTAGTCTATAGTCTAGTCTATAGTCTAGTCTATAGTCTAGACTTTAGTCTAGTCTAGTCTATAGTCTATTCTATTATCTAGCGGAAAATTAGTTTAGTACTTTAAAACCTAAAAAGTACTATTTTTGTTATAATTTAAATCTGTCTGTAAATCTTCTGTCTGTCTGTCCGCATGTTTGTTCAAAATAATTTTCTTTATCGTCAATAATTCTTTCTTTCGAGTAGTTTGATATTGGAAGTCAGCAGGATCGGTTCTCAAATAACGATGATATGTACATATAATTTACAGAATTTTGAACATATTTCGGATGCCTTTCGGAAAGACCTGTCATATGAAATGCGTATCGTATATCCGGAAATTTTTTATATATTTTTTTCAAATTAAAAAAGAAAATTAGTTTTTAATAAAAAAAAAATTCTTCAAAAAATTTAAAAACATTTTTTTTTTATTTAAAAATATTAACTGAAAAATTATAAGTAACAGTATAACTTGCTATAGTTCAAAGCTTCTAGTCAATAGTTGAAGATCTTTAATTATGATTTTAAAACTTTATAAAACTTATTTCTTTTATATAAAAATTTCGTTATAGAAAAATTTTACATTTTTATTTACATACATAACTTTTAAAGATTTTGTTTGGTTTTATTAATTTTTTTTATCTTTTATATAATTTTTTTTAAATAAAATATTAATTATAAAAGAAAAATATATACTATATTAAAAACTAAACAACAACAAAATTTGTTTCAATAAACTATTAATAACTAAAATAAATTATAAATAACAATAAAATTATATTTTATCTCTTTCTTTCTCTCCTTTTTTTCTCTTTGTAAAAAAAATATAAACAAAAAAATGCTCTCTTTTTTTTTTTGTTTAATGCTTCTTTCCAAAAACCAAAACAAACACATTACACCTTTACAACACCTGATGGTGACAACCCTGAAGTAGTAGTCGGTAAACGTAAATTTGATGGAGGTCACCAAAATCCAGCAGATATTAAGCGACGTTACCCAGGCGGTTTAATAGGAAATGGCGGCAGTTGGGGCAGTTTACCACTACCACAACAACCATTAGGCACTAATGGTGAACAATGGTATACGGATACGTTTTCAACTTGGAGTTAAAAAAACTAAATTTTCAAAAAAAAAAAAAATTAACAATTTTTTTTATTTTATAACAAAATTCAAATTCAAAACAAAAATTATTATAATTAAAGCTAAAAAACACACACACAATAAACTCATTTTATAGAAGAAGTAAAGAAAAACAAAATTAAATTAAAAATAATAATAATAATAAAACAAGCAATACTTATGGACAAAATTATTAAACAAAAATAATAAAACAAACAAAAAAAAATGTAGTAGAAAACAATATTTAACAGGCGTCCCTTAACAAAAAAATTTAAAACAAGAAAAATATTAACAAAAAAATTTACAATTTTATTCTTAATTAACAAAACAAAAAAGTGTAGTTCTTAATTAAACTCTTAATTCAAAAACAAAATAGTAAAAGAAGTACGAAAAACCGCTTAATTTTTTTCTAAACAAAATATATAAAAAAAAAAAAAATTACAAAAAAAAATGCACGTTCTTTTTTATTAAAACTAGTTATAAAAAAATAAATAAAACAATAAACAATTTTGACTAGAAAATACAACAAAATTTATATAATTTTTCTTCTAAGTTGCAAAAGAGTTCAGAAAAATTATTTATAATTTCATTTCATATTAACAAATGTTTGTTTTATTATAAAAAAACACTAAAACTTTATAAAATATTTAAAAGAAAAAATTTGTAAGCAAAGCTTAAACAAAAAAACAAAATATTTCAAAAATAAAAAAAATTATAATTAAATTTAAAAAAATTAAAGGAAATTTTGAAAATACAAAAAATAATGACTGAATTCAATTGAAATTGAATTAAAATTAAAAAAAAAACAATTGATTATAAAGTAAATTTTATAAAAAAAATAATTAATAGTAGACTTTTTGTATGATTGAAATTAAAAAAACTAAAACTTAAGCAACAACTAAAATAATTATTAAAAACAATATACATTAATTGTATTGAAGTACAGGCATGTCTAATTATTATATAATTACACATGCTAATTTTAACAAAAGTTTTTTTTATAAAAATATTTAAAAAAAAGAGTGAAATTAATTAAAAAAAATTGTTTTCTAAAGTTTTGAATTTCAAATTTTGTTTAATGTTTTTATTGTCCCAAGAAAAATATATTTAAGAAAATTAAATTTGTGTTTAAATTAAAAATTATTTTGTTATTTAACTTTTATTAATTATTAATTTCAATTATCAAAATTCTTTAAATAATATTTTATTGTAAAACATAGTTTTGAAAATAATTTTTTATTTTAATACAAATAACTAACCTTCAGGCTGGGGAGTTAATGATTACATAAAGTAATTCATTAATTGGCCAATTACAATTACTTGTAATGTGTAATTGACCAGTAACTAATTACAATTAACTAATTACAATTATAATTCAATTACAATTACCTGTAAATAAAGTTTTTCCTATAACTGTTACTTGTAATTGTAATGAGTTAAATAACTCATTTATAAGAGAAAAAGTCTTAATTACAAGTAATTGTAATTAGAAATTCTTCAATCACAATAACATGTAATTGTAATTGCAAACTCTTCAATTGATTGGCAAAACTTCCAGTACAATTACAAGTTATTGTAATTGACCAAAATTCAATTACAAAGTAATTGTAACTGTTATAACTTCAATTACAATTATTTCATATGTAATCATTAGTAATTGCAAACTGTTCAGTTAATTGGCAAAACATAAATTACAATTACAAGTTATTGTAATTGACCATAATACAATTACAATGATAAGTAATTGTAATTGGTATAACTTCAGTTACAATTATTTCAAATGAAATCATCAATAATTAAAAACTGTTCAATTAGCAAAACTTCAATTACAATTACAAGTTATAGTAATTGGCCAAACTTCAATTACAATTATAAGTAATTGTAATTCAATTACAATTATTTCATATGTAATCATTAGCCCCTAAGCCTACTAACCTTTTTATTTAATATTATCTAAATTTTGTTAAACTCTTTTATTTTTGAAATTTCAAGTTTATGTTTGTTTTAACCCAAAACTCTGCTGTAATTGTAATTATAAATTGAAATTGTCTAGACATTTTTTTTTTGAAAATCAATAAATTTATTAAAAACTTTCTTAACTGCTGGAAAATATTTGTCTTGCTTTAATAATTTGTTTAAATTAAAAGTTAACTTAATATAAATACAATTATAAAAGAAACAAGTTTGTTATAGAAAGATATTATTTAAAAAGTTTTGTTAACTAATTTACATTTTCTAGAAAAGTTTACAAAAAATTTTGGTTAGATTGTCAAGTTTTATAGGAAAATTATACAAAAACTCAGAAAAACTAAATTTATTGGAAAAGGAAATAATGAGTTTAGAAAATTTTAAAAGCAAATTATTAAAAAATTATTTTCTAAAATATTTTTTCCAGTTACAACAACAATTCAGTACATTTTTAATCTATCACCAATCAAAATTTCACATGAAATATGTTTCCTATTTCTATCATACGATGGACAAGTTAGTTCAGGTCAAAATGATTTCCAGTTGCTAAATTTCTGTATGAATTCCAATGAAACAGCTGTTTCGGACAAAATCAACTATTGTGAATGAATTGTAATATCACGATAGCAAATTTCTCGGCGCGGGTAATGAAAATTTCTTTTTCTATCATACAATGGACAAGTTAGTTCAGGTCAAAATGATTTCCAGTTGCTAAATTTCTGAATGAATTCCAATGAAATAACTGTCTCGATCAAAATCAACTATTGTGAATGAATTGGAATACCACGATAGCAAATTTCTTTTTGCAGGATATGAAAATGAAGATTGATGATTTTAGCTTGAATTTGTAAAAAAGTCCAAATTTTTAACAAAATTATTTACAAGAAATCCAAAATTCTCATTTTTAAAAAAATTTTGGAATTTTTTCAAACAAATTTATTTTATTTCTCAAAATTTTGTATTTTTGACAAAATAGAACAGTTTTGTTTAATGTAAAGATTTTTAACAAAATTTCCTTAAGATAAAACAATTTTTTTTTAACTTTTCAAAATTTTGAAATACTTATAACAAAAACACTTTTTTATAAAGCTAAAAATTTTAACAAAATTCTGAAAATCGTTTACAAAATTTTGAAATTTTTTACAATAAAAACATTTCAGTTTTTTATAAAATTAAAAATGTTACCTTTTGCGTAGATTTCAATTAAAACTTCTAGCAAATTTCACAAGATTAAATAAATTAAAAATTTAAAAAAAAATTCTTTTCTTTTACAAAATTCTAAGTTTTTTTTAAACGTTTCAAAGATAAAATAAATTTTTTTGAAAAAATTCTACTTTTTATGGCAAAATAAAACAGTTTTCTTTAATATTCAAAAATATTCAATAATATTATTTTCAAAATTTATAAAATTTTAAGTATTTTTAAAACTTTTTGCAGTTGTTTTCAAACAAATTTCTTATATTTCTGAAAAGTCTACATTTTATGACAAAATAGAATAATTTTATACAAATAAAAGTACTTTTTTATTTTAAATTACAAAAATTTCCAAAATTTAACTTAAAACCCATATATTTCGAAAAAATAAGTTCTTTTAACAACCTTTACCAAAAACAAGGCAAAAGTGACAGTTCTTAAAGAGCAAAAAATCAGCAAATGTTTCTACTAATCGAATTGTAAAGTAATTCATTTAAAAATTTCCAATATTTATGTTAAAACCCAAAAAAAATATTTCGAAACATAAGTCCCTTTAACAATCCGAAAACAAGGCAAAAGTGTAACACAATCTTTACTTAGGCAGTTATTAAAAAGCAAAATATCACCAAAGTCTTTTGCAGTTCGTATACTAAAGTAATTGAAAAACTTAAAATTTCCAATTCAAAAAATCAAACTACTTATTGCAAATCAGTTTAGAAATACAAACTTTTAAAGAAATTATAAACCACTCTTTAGTCAGTCATTAAAGAACAAAATATCTGTTGCAAAATTCATTTCCATAAACACTTGTCAAAAGGCTTAAGTTTAAGTCTTAATATTGTATTTCGAAACCTAAATAGCCTTGGATGGGTTATGATTACATTAAGTATTTCATTTGATGATCAATTACTTGTAATGTGTAGTTGAGCATTAATCAATTACAAGTTTATGTTGTTATTATTGAAGTATTAGCTATTGAATTCATTTGTAAAAGAAGTATTGTCCATAATAATAGTAATACAATTATCAATAATTGTAATGGAATTATAATGAATTACCGTTACTTGTAATTGCAATGAATACTAGTTCAATTGCAATATTATCATTCAGAATAAGTAATATTAATGAATGTAAAAAATGCTATGATTACCTTTTGATTAATTACAATAAGTAGTAATTAATAAAAAAATTTCAGCTGCAAGTAATTGTAATTGTTGAAACTTTAATAACAAGTAATAGCAATTCTTTCAAAGTTATTTCTTCATCAATTGTAATTACAAGTAATTGTCATTGATAAATAATTACAACTACAAGTAATTGTAATTGTTGAAACTTTAATCACAGGTAATTGTTATAGTTAAAAAACAAGTAATTGTAATTGTTTAAATTTTAATTACAAGTAATTGTTATAGTTAAAACTTTAATAACTAGTAATTGTAATTGTTAAATCTTAAATTACAAGTAATTGTTAAAGTAATGTAATTGAAAATGTAATGAAACTTCATACAAACTAAAGCAATTGAAAGCAAAATTTTTTAAATAATTTCAAAAATCTAAAGTTTTTTTTTAATTTTCTTTTTAGAAACCATTCAATAAAGACTTATTAACATTTTTATCGGAACCTAATCTTTTCATCATATATTTCAAAATTTGTTTTATAAAAATGAAATTTGTGTTAAACATAGTCTGATTTTCATAATTTCAGAAATCAAAATTGTTTTCGAACTGTTAATTTTGAATTTTCTAAAAATTTAACTTTAACTTGAAGACTTTGAATAAATTTGTTCGTGTTGTCTAGTTTTAAACAAAAATATTTAACATTTTAAAAGAAATTTAATAAAAAAATTTGTGGGACTCGAACTCGAGCCTGAAAAATATTCATTTAATATAAAAATGTTCAGTTTTCTTTAACATTTTCTAT